GAGGACACTGATCCAGATCACCATGATACAAGAGGAAACATGATCCAGGTCACCATTTATACAAAGAACACAGATCAGATACCATGAAACAAGAGGACACATGATCCAGGTCACCATGATACAAGAGGACACATGATCCAGATCAGATACAAGAGGCACATATCCAGGTCACCATGATACAAAAGGCACATGAAACCAGATCATTGATCAAGAGAAAATGATCCAGGCCCATGATAAACCCAAGAGGACACATGATCCCGTCACCATGATACAAAAGGACAACCATGATCCAGGGCACATGCCACAATGGACACAATCCGTCACCATATACAGAGGACACATGATCCAGATCCCCTGAACAAAACATGACAGTCACCAAGAACAGACAAACCCTGATCCAGGTCACCATGAAATACCCAACCGAGGGGCACTGATCCCGGTCAACCATGATACAAGAGATACTATCCAGTCACCATGATACAAAGGTAAGATCCAGGTCACCATGATACAAAGACAATGATCCGGTCACATGAAAACAAGACACATGATGGTCACCATGATCAAGAGGACACTAATCCGGTACCATGTACAAAGACACAGGAAAGAAGATACAAAAGGACACATGATCCAGTCACCATGATACAAGAGGACACATGATCCAGGTCACCATGATACAAAGGACACATGATCCAGGTCACCATGATACAAGAGGAAGTCACCCTGATCAGATCCAGGGCACCATGATACAAAAGGACACATGATCCAGGTCACCATGATACAAGAGGACACATGATCCAGATCATGATACAAGAGGACACATGATCCAGGTCACCATGATACAAAAGGACACATGATCCAGGTCACCATGATACAAAACACGGGGCACAGATCCATCCCATGATCAAAGACACATGATTAGCAACAATACAGAGGGCCAGACCAGGTACAGAACAAGACACATGACAGGCCAAAACAAAGGAAATGATTCCATATACAAAAGGGAACCCGATCCAGGGCCCAAAACAAGAGACATTATCCCGGTCAATTCCAAACCCCATGAAATAATGAGAAGATATACCATGGGAAAACAGACACCATGATCCAGGTCAACCCCCTGATACAAAGGACAATGACAGTACCCTGATACAAGAGGGAAAATATCCAGGTCACATGATACAAAAGGAAACAGATCCGGCTCATTTACAAGAGGAAAATCCAGTCACCATGATAAAAGAAAGCACATACCAGTCCCAGATACAAAGGGAACCCGATCCCACCATAACAAGAACAAAGATCCGTCACCAGATAAAGAGGACACATATCAAGTTCCATGATACAAAAGGACACATGATCCGAAGATACAAGAGGACACATGATCCAGGTCAAGATACAAAGGACGGGCAGACCCCAAAAAAGACCAAAGATCCATCCAATAAAACAAGAGGAAAATACCCCCAATTAACAAAGGACCCTGATCGTCAATTAAAAAGGACACATTCCGTCACCAGTACAAGAGGAAATACCAGTCACCATCAAGACAAAGATCCAGGCAATAAAAAAAAGGATAGACCCCAATGATACAAGAAAAACCAGATCAAATGACCAAGGGTCACAAATTCAAAGGCACCCTGATACACCATGAAAAGGACACTGCCAGGTCACCATAAAACAAAGGACACATGCCAGGTCACCCTAAATAACCCCGCAACATGCCAGGTCACCTGAACAAGAGGAACATGATCCGGTCAAAGATACAGAGAATGACCAGCACCATGTACAAAGGGCAATGGGCCCCTGATAAAACATGATCCAGGTCACCATGAATTCCCAAAAGGACACCCTGATCAGGTCACCATGATACAAAAGACACATGATTCCAGGTCACCATGATAAAAAAGGCAAATGATCCAGGAACAGATACAAAGAACATACCATGCACCTACAAAGGCACCCTGATCCAGTACCCATGAAAACAAAGGGACAATGATCCAGGTACCCAAAAAGGCACAGATCCGTCACCTGATAAAAGGAAAATGATACAGAACCATAAAACCCAAGGACCATGATCCCGGGAAAAATACCAGACACCATAATCAAGGACCAGAACAACCAGGCCAACCATAAAAAAGAGGAACATGATCCAGATCACCATATCAAAGAACAAAGACCAGTCAAGAGTGAAAAGGAACCAGGTACCATGAACAAGAACCATGATCCAGCACTAAAAGGAAGTCCAGTCACCATATACAAGAACCATAACCAGTCACAATAACAAGGACAATATCAGGTCACCAATAAAAAGGACACTGATCCAGGTCACCAATTACAAGAGGAACTACCAGGAACCAAAGAACAGATACCAACAAAAGCGACCTGAAAAATATCCGAACACATATACAAGGGACCAGCACAGATCCAAAAAAATTCAGGGCACCATGATACAAGGCAACATTTCCAGGATAAACCCGAAAGAAACAAATCCAGATCCAACCAGATAAAAAGACTGACCAAGAACCCGACAAGGGCAATACCCAAACCCAGTAAAGAACCATCACCAAAAAGACACAATCCAGCACCTGATAAAAGAACAAAAACCAATTTACCCTGATACAAGAGAAAAAGATCCCGCACCATGATAAAAAGGAACTGATCCAACCAATAGACACTGATCCCGGCACCCTGATACAAAAGAACAACAGGTCCGAAATACCAGATACCAACACAGGGGAAAAGGGCCAGATCAAAACAAAACAATGCCCGGTTCACCAATACAAAGAAGAACAAAGGGCACAAGGAACAAAGGTCACCTGATCAAGGGACACAGATACAATGAAAGAACACATGCCCGGCCCTGATACAAGGGAACCAAAACCTACCGTACAGGGAAACATGACCACCCTGAACCAAAACACCGACCCGTCCCAAAACAGGACACCAATGAACGAAAAGAATACAGAACAACAAAAGGTCCCCATGGAACATAAAGAGGGCAAATACCAGGTCACCATGAAAAGAGGGCACAATGCTCCAGTCACCATGAACAAGGGCACAGATCCAGATCATGATACAAGAGGAACAGATTACAGGACCATGAAAAAGGACCACAATCCAGGTCACCCAAAAATAGAACAGAAATACCAGGCACCATGATACAAGAAAAGGAACATGATCAGTCAAGATCAGATTGATCACGAAGGAACAATTATCCAGGTACCATGAACAAGGGCAAAAAGGATCACCTATAAAGGGAACATTTCCATCACCATGATAAAAGGAACACTGTTCAATCACCAACAAGAGGGACCCTGAAAGGAAAATCAGTACATGAACAAAGGACATACCTGTAAAAACATCCAGGTCACCATGATACAAGAGGACACATGATCCAGATCACCATGATACAAGAGGACACATGATCCAGATCACCATGATACAAGAGGACACATGATCCAGATCACCATGCAAAAAGCTTGATTATTTAACCTTAATATAATTATACGAGTATATTTGTAATTAAATATAACATGATTACGTTACACTGCTACGTTTTGTAATTTAATTAAAGTAATCAATGTAAGTGTTAAATTATTACATTAAATCATTATCATTTTAAAACTTAAATAATTTACTAATTAAATTTTTCTGGATGTGAAAATTGCTGTTCATGTTGGAACATGTGGGGGGAGTGTGGGGTGTGGGGGGGTGTGGTGGGGGAGTGTGGGGGGGTGTTGTGGGGGAGTGTGGGGGAGTGTGGGGGTGTGGTGGTGGAGTGTGGGGGGGTGTGGTGGTGGAGTGTGGGGGGGTGTGTGTGGGGGAGTGTGTGGGGTGTGGTGGGGAGTGTGGGGGTGTGGTGGGGGAGTGTGGTGGGGTGTTGTGGGGGAGTGTGGGGGTGTGGTGGGGGAGTGTGGGGGGTGTGAGAGGGAGTGTGGGGGGGAGTGTTGTGGGTGTGGTGGGGGGGTGTGTGTGGGGAGTGTGGGGTGGTGTGGTGGGGGCAGTGTGGGAGGTGTGGTGGGGAGTGTGGTGGGGGAAGTGTGGTGGGGTAGTGGTGGGGAAGTGTGGTGGGGTAGTGTGGCGAGGGTAGTGTGGGGAAGTGTGGTGGGGGCAGTGTGGGAAGTGTTGTGTGGGGAAGTGTGGTGGGGAAGTGTGGTGGGGGAAGTTGTGGTGGGGGAAGTGTGGTGGGGGTAGTGTGGTGGGGGTAGTGTGGTGGGGGAAGTGGGTGGGGGTAGTTGTGGTGGGGGTAGTGTGGGGGGGAAGTGTGGTGGGGGTAGTGTGGTGGGGGTATGTGGTGGGGGAAGTGTGTGGGGGGTAGTGTGGTGGGGGTAGTGTGGTGGGGGTAGTGTGGTGGGGGTTGTGTGGTGGGGTATGTGGTGGGGGAAGTGTGGTGGGGAAGTGTGGTGGGGGGTTGTGTGGTGGGGGTGAAGACAAAGATATAACTGAAAAACAACATTTATGGAAACGTTACGTACTGTATAGCGCTCTAAGTCTACTTAACTTAAAGCTGTACACAGAGCGAAACTGTCCCAATAAAAGCTTGTTGTTTTTTAATTTGTCTCTTGGTAACTACACATGCCTACTGGCCCATGGCAGGCCTACTCACACTAATGTATTTGTTTAACGTATGTGTAAAGTTGTTCAGAGTACTGCCTTCAATGACATCCTCTGGCAGTGAAAGATGAATGAATGGCAGTGTGTAGGAGATTGTATGTCGTGGAACAGTTGTCTTAACACTTTCCACGCTAGAACTGCTAACAACAACACTGTGAGAACACCGTGAAAACACGGTGACAACATAGGCAAGTCTTTACCTGTCACTCAAGCACTTCTCTACTTTCATCCCCTCCACTAAAATCTTAAACACCGCCACATGAATCTTGCAAGGACGTATATGAGCTGTGACAAGATCCCAGTACAAACAGTCTCAGGGTGACAACGACCGCAGTCTTGTCGCAATATATCTCCTAGCTTCCCTACTAAAAAACAAAAACAAAAAGCTAACTCACCTTGAGGCCCCTGAAGGCGTGAAAGATAATGGTAGCGAGGAGGAGACAGACGATGGAGATGACGCAGCCGACGTAGGTGATGATAGAGAGAGCCAGCTGGTGAGGGTAGGCCAGTGGAGTGGCGTGTACATCCATCAGGACAGCAAAGTTGGTCAGGTGGTCACACTCGCACACGGTGTGTGACGTGTTGTATCGCAGCACACGGCAACCTTCCTCCGACCAAGAGCTGCATAACCACCAGGAAAAAAAATTAGATATATGCGGAAATATGAGTATTACTGACATTTAAAAACACAACAATAAAAGAGCAGCACTGTAGTAGGTTTATTGGCCAATGCTAGGTAGGTCATATTCACAATCTCAATTAATAATTGAGCAGCAGTAACAAGTACAATAGTGTACAGTTAATGAATAATGATGGTAGAGGTGGTAGTGGAAGATTAACAAAATAATAAGTAATTACAGAAAAATGGTAACTTGAACAGTCATTAATGATGGGCTGAGATACCAGTGAATGAACAATGATGGAAACAGTACAGTGAGTAACAGTATAACAATATTAGCAATGACAGAAATGGTGAGATGAGTAAGTGGACAGATAATACATGGAACACTGTTTGAACAATGATGGAAGAAACTGGAGTCTGAGAACACTTTGAATTCTTAAATGGTTATCAAGGTTTCAGAATAATACCCACACTGGTCTCTGACTCGTGCAGCTAGCATGAATTTTCCTTTGTTGCAACTCATAACACTGGCTCTTACCAAAACAGTTTAACCCGATTATGTGAGATCTGATAGAGAGACGGAACAGGAAAAGTTTCATTTTCTGTTATTCTGTCTTAAAATAAGCTACACAAAACAATGATGAATGTTAAATGTCTTGAAATATGTTAAAAAAAAGAGGCAGCTTTATCTGGTGTGATTTTTTAACAATATATAATACTAATAAATAGTTGAGTTTCTACATTACGACATTAACACACAAACTTCCCGAAATGCACAGCATCACAGTTGCTTTCTTTTGTCCTTAACAATATTTTATTACTTGTAAACTGCATTTTGTATAGTACACAAAGAAATGAAGTTTGTTTGAGTCCTGTAGCACTGGTGCCAGTAAATGGCTAGTTATCCATGGAACTACTAATACTACTAGGATCAAACCGGAGAGCCTCTTAATCCCTTTCCTTGGATTGAACTTGAATGCTTTCCATTGTTTCAGGCGCTGTATGATCCCCTACGGGTTTAGCATTTCCCGCTGATAATAAAAGACTCAATACATGATATCTTCGACTATCAACCATTTGCAACATTAAATCAAAATGTATATAACTAGATCAGAGGTATATATATATATATATATTATATATATATATATATATATATATATATATATATATATATATATATATATATATAAATATAAAATTACCAACATGTTGATAAGACCTGTGCAATATATGTGTATCTTTATTGAGAATAAAAATACACAGCTATTACACTCTCTTATTCAACATTCTCGAACCAACTACCAGATTCCGGGAGTAGAAAAATCTCGAAACTCATCGAAGGTTAATACTGGAGGAAAAAAAGGAAAAACAGCCATCATTTCTACACATGTGTTTACAAACAGGTGAAAACAGTCTCTTAGTTTAGGTTTTTGAAAATGTAATGTAAAAATTATATATTTACTCCCACCAGGACGTCAAGACAAAATCAGAGGTGCAGTTGTGTCTTCTTCAGAGACTACACCTAGTCCACAATTTCTAGAGTAATAAGAGTAAATCACAGGTGTATTCAGCTGCTTCATTTTCCCTACTCTTTACGAGTGCAGGAACCGTGGCGTACGTATACTGCAGAAAAGGAACACTAACTCGGCAGTAGAAGCAGCTGTCTCATACATCACTTTGCATCGTGGCATCAACGTGGTTAACCTACCTAACAACCAACTCGTGAAAATAGCCACCAACTCTGTCATCTATCAAAAACTTGGTGTAACATAAAAACTACTTCCGTGTGGGGGATGCGATAAAAAAAAAATAAGATTAAACTGCTAAATCACTGGAAAATAAAAGTTCGAGAAAACAAACACGACTGTAACAAAGACTGTGAAACACATGGACAACTGTCCATTGATGAAATGGAATGAGCCCTAATTAGTCATACGTGAAAGTGAAATGCGTGCAAGCTGCCTTAATACCATCACTGATACAATCCAACAAAAAATCCAGGAGCTTCAGTGTTACTAAACTCTTGGCCAACAAATTTTGCTCCGAGAGCAGAAGCACTGGAAACTCATCAGAGGTACATCAAATGTACCCATCATGTGATGTCCACTTACTGCAGCCTGCCCCACCACACTCGCTGCGTATGTCTCAAAGCTCTGTAAGATCTTTTTTTCCAGCTTACTCTCCCCTCAAGGAAGGTTCCTTGACGCTGGTGAGGGGCTCTTGATCTAAGGAACTGGATCTGTGCTCCAGTTCCCTAAATTAAGCCTGAATACTTTCCACATCCCTCCCCCACAGGCGCTGTATAATCCTACGGGTTTAACGCTTCCCCCTTGATTATAATAATAATCCAGCTTACTCTGTATTAAGACTGAAGCCACTCATAGTGATAAGTTTCCTTTAATAAACGTTTTGAAGAGTACGTACTGTGTGTCTATCCTTCCTCCTAGTTACAGTCCTCCTGTCGAAGTTGTAAACAATGGGAAGTGAGTGACGTGGCTTCAACAGCGTGAGGGAGAGGTAAATATTATGGCCCACAGTAAACAAGAAGCTAACCATTATTCACTACCACCACCACCAATACCCTCAGCACCACCACCAATACCCTCAGCACCACCACCAATACCCTCAGCACCACCACCAATACCCTCAGTAACACCACCAATACCCTCAGCACCACCACCAATACCCTCAGTAACACCACCAATACCCTCAGTAACACCACCAATACCCTCAGTAACACCACCAATACCCTCAGCACCACCACCAATACCCTCAGTAACACCACCAATACCCTCAGCACCACCACCAATACCCTCAGTAACACCACCAATACCCTCAGTAACACCACCAATACCCTCAGTAACACCACCAATACCCTCAGTAACACCACCAATACCCTCAGCACACCACCAATACCCTCAGCACCACCACCAATACCCTCAGCACCACCACCAATACCCTCAGCACCACCACCAATACCCTCAGTATCACCACCAATACCCTCAGCACCACCACCAATACCCTCAGCACCACCACCAATACCCTCAGCACCACCACCAATACCCTCAGCACCACCACCAATACCCTCAGTAACACCACCAATACCCTCAGCACCACTACCAATACCCTCAGCACCACCACCAATACCCTCAGCACCACCACCAATACCCTCAGCACCACCACCAATACCCTCAGTATCACCACCAATACCCTCAGCACCACCACCAATACCCTCAGCACCACCACCAATACCCTCAGCACCACCACCAATACCCTCAGCACCACCACCAATACCCTCAGTAACACCACCAATACCCTCAGTAACACCACCAATACCCTCAGTAACACCACCAATACCCTCAGTAACACCACCAATACCCTCAGCACCACCACCAATACCCTCAGCACCACCACCAATACCCTCAGCACCACCACCAGTACCCTCAGCACCACCACCAATACCCTCAGCACCGCCATCAGCACCGCCATCAGCACCACCATCAATACCACAATCAATACGTTCAACACTGCCACCAACAACATCGCCGATTGGAGCTACCCTTCCTTGGAACAAAACTGATTGCCTCCCACTCCCCACCATTATTATTATTATTATTATACACTGATGGGGAAGCGCTGAACATATAGGGAACATACATAGCCTGTGAAATAGGATTTAATTCCTCGCAGAAACAATACACACTGTGAGTAGCGCTTAGATACTTTGTATGACGGAGTATCTACAGGAAAGGTATAACAACATACAAAATCTTAAGAGGAATTGATAAAGCAGAGAGGGACAGATTGTTTGAATTATGATCAAGATCAAGAGGACACAGGTGGAAACTGAAGACATAGACTAGCTATAGCAATATTATGGAAATATTTCTTTAGTCTTGAAGTGGATGAGGAATGAAATGATTTATATGAGGCGGTGGTGGATACAAACTCAATACACAGCTTCAATATATAAGGTCTAAGAGGGAAGAAATTAATGCCGATCAAAGTAGTCTAGGATACAAAGTCAGGAGGCGAGACTCGACCTCCACAAACATAACTCGGTGAGTACACATACATACAATGATGGATCACCTGAAACACCATCACCGCCGTCACAAGCACAGACCTGCTGTAACGACTGAGTATAGTTCCAGGGTTACCTATGATTTAACTTTGCTCAGTTTCGCGAATTTTCCTACTCTCGCGGCCCAACCCGGGCCAGGCCTCCGTTGATTACCTGGTCAACCAGACTGTTACTCTTGAAGGTCTGCTGGGCCACATATCCATCACGGTCTGGTTTATCTACCATTTGACACAAGTAGTGATCCAGTTTCCTTTTGACTTGTTCCGGAAGTATTTCTGATTTTAGCTGATAGAAGATTGAATAGTCAAGGCCCATGATTGTTGACAGTGTCTTCTTGTGCCCGTGATTGTTGACAGTGTCTTCTTGTGCCCATGATTGTTGACAGTGTCTTCTTGTGCCCATGATTGTTGACAGTGTCTTCTTGTGCCCATGATTGTTGACAGTGTCTTCTTGTGCCCATGATTGTTGACAGTGTCTTCTTGTGCCCATGATTGTTGACAGTGTCTTCTTGTGCCCGTGGTTGTTGACAGTGTCTTCTTGTGCCCATGATTGTTGACAGTGTCTTCTTGTGCCCGTGGTTGTTGACAGTGTCTTCTTGTGCCCATGATTGTTGACAGTGTCTTCTTGTGCCCATGATTGTTGACAGTGTCTTCTTGTGCCCATGATTGTTGACAGTGTCTTCTTGTGCCCATGATTGTTGACAGTGTCTTCTTGTGCCCATGATTGTTGACAGTGTCTTCTTGTGCCCATGATTGTTGACAGTGTCTTCTTGTGCCCATGATTGTTGACAGTGTCTTCTTGTGCCCATGATTGTTGACAGTGTCTTCTTGTGCCCATGATTGTTGACAGTGTCTTCTTGTGCCCATGATTGATTGACAGTGTCTTCTTGTGCCCATGATTGTTGACAGTGTC